GGGGTCAAAATGGGTGGGGTTGGGGGTTTAAAAGGGGGGGGGTGGGGGGAAAGTGGGGGGGGGGGGGGGGGGGGTAAATTTAATTTTAGATGCTAGACTTTTCTGAATCGGACTTTTTTTTTCATTTTCTAAAGCTGTTTTTTTTTTTTTTCGCCCACTTGTGTTTGTTTGTTTTGGACGGATGGACCGAGAGCTTCTGCAGGAAAACTTGATCTTTGTACCAATTTGCAGACTTGTGTCTTTGGTTACATGTATATAATTTTAAAATAATAAAAATTGCTACTTTCAGTAACTGCCTGACTGCTTTTTCCCCCCCTCAATGTCCTGAATTATCACTTATTTATTTATTTATTTATTTATTTATTTATTTTAGGATATTATTGTGTGAAAAGGAGAAAAAAACCCTGAAATCTCTTAAATGACCTGAATATAAAAAGCTGCAGACGGAAACATTATTGCAGAATTTATTTACAATCAGCAGAAAACAGTAAAAAAAAAAAAAAAGTTTGAGTCTTTTAGTGTCCCTCAGTTTCTATCACGCGTTCCGGTTATCTGCTCCTCTCCGCGTTCCGAACCTCACCCTCAGGTCCAGCTTTGTTCGGTTCCGAAGGCCCGCAGGTCCCGGTCCCGTCCTGCAGCAGCTCAGTCAGGGTGCTGATGTAAATCTGGGCCATCTGCAGAGTCTCCGATTTGGACAGCTTCTTCTCGCTCTCCAGGTTCGGGATGACGCTCCGCAGCCGGTCGAACGCCACGTTCAGTCCGAGCATCCTTCTCCTCTCCCGGGCGTTGGCGGCCAGGCGCCGCCGCCTCTGCGCCCGCTCCAGGGCGCACCTGTCGGGCTGCAGGTAGTGCAGCGCGGGGCCCAGCCGGAGCTCCACGATGGCGCACGGGGACGCCTCGCAGAATTCACGGCCGTCTCTGGAGCGCGCCGCCTCGGCTTGCTCCTGCGCTCGGGTCCGCTGCAGCAGGGCGTGGATGTCCCCGCTGAGATCCACGGGGGCCGCGGGGCCGACCCCGCCCTCCGGAGTTGCGGTGATGAAGGGCGCAAACAGGCCTTTACGTGGCGGCATGTCTCCACTTGTTCCTCTGAAGCAGAACCAGAACCACACAGTGCTGGGGGACGGAAGCGCAAATTCAAACTTCCCCAACTCTGGGACGGGAATTTATGGACCCGAGAGACACGTCGGGGGGGGGGGGGGGACACGGCTTGCGTGAATCCGGGGGCGTGGAGAAGGTCGTGTGCTGCCTAATGAACAGAGCCAAAGCCACTGCAGGAGGTCCATTAACCAAGTTCATCAAAAACGGATTAGAAGCGAGTCAGTGAGCGTTGAGGACCGAGGAGGGTGCAGGAGAGGAAACAGTCCGTCTTTTTGGACCAGTGATGCACGCGGCTTTTGGAGGGCCTTTCGCTGCCTGCATTTAAATCATAAACAGACTAAAATAAAAATGTGCTGCAAGTTCTCTAGTTATTCCAGAAAAGCGATATTTCTTTTTACTAAATATTTCAGCCCTTGAATCTGTTTCGAGTAAATATTAAACTGCCTTTAAATCAGGGTGATAGAACTTGTGCAGCCCGGTCATTTAAATATTTTTGGTATGTGCATTAATAGGTGAGTTTCTTTTGACTGACCGTTCACAACAGTTGCTGGAAATATATTTAATATTTTTTGTCACATTTTGAGGTTTCTTATACGGTTTATCAACAACATAAAAATGTCAGTGGAAATTTTGAAAATGAGAGTAACCAATTGAATTGAAGATGAAGATTCTGAATAAACAATTATGAAGTAACTCAGAAACGGAATAAATAAAAATATATAAATTTGAAAATGGAGAATAAAAAAAGAAAATACTGGAATTAAATATAAATGGAAAGAAAAAATAGAAATAACTAAAGTTCAAAGTGCTTCACAAAATAAAAAACATAATGCAGTCAACAGAAAATGAGCAATAAACATTGCATTTTGTAAAATGTCAAAATCATCAAGCGACTGTGCATCAAATATGTTGATCAATGTTCTTGCTACACTTAATGTTTAGAGCTTGCTACACAGCTCTAAAGTGTTTTTTTTTTTTTGCCTTGATTTAAAGGTAGTCAGTCTTTCAGCGTCTTCGCAGTTTTCTGGAAGTTTGTTCCAGATTTGAGTTGAGATTTAGTTGCATCAAAATTTTACAGGACGCAGCTCAAAGGAATGTAACTCCTGTAATCCCTATGGATGTTTGTCCCTAAGTGCATTTGAGTAATCCAACCTTAAATGCAATGGCTTCTTCTTCTGTGATTGGCCTTTCAGCCCATGTTATGAGCCTTTTTTATTTTTATTTTATTGTGGATAATGACAGTCTGACAATGTTTGGCTTCTCCTTACAAAATGTTACATCTTAGCTTCGGGTATGGCTGTTTATACTTGTATGTAATTGTTTATACAGGTGAACGTGACAATTTCATGCATCTGGAAATTTTACAAGACTTTCAGGAGGTCCTCAGTTCTCTTCCCGATAGCTGGGCTGACTTCTTTATTCGTTTCTTCTTCTTTCTTTTTTTTTTTTTTTACAATGTCACACAAGGACATCATGAGACGTTGATTTGAGGCCTTAAAATAAGAGAGCTATTCTGTCATCTGGCATTTAGCAAATTAAAGTCGTTTTATTAACCCCAACAGGATTTCCAAAACGAGACAGATTTATTCTCAGAAATTGAGAGGAAAAGTTTGCTTCTTTTTTTTTTTCTTTTTCTTTTTCTACAGTGTTTGTGATTATCTGGTGTAAGTGAAACAAACTTTATCGTCTGATTTTTATAGATTTAAATAATTAAAATATTTAAAGAAACACAAGTGAAAGCTGCAGGGTTTGTTACAGTGAACTAAATAATTCATTGGCTTCAGAAGTACCACTTCATCGCCCCCTCCCCTCCCCCAAGAGTTTGGACTGAAAGGTGAAGTTTGGTTCACGAGCGTATTAACCGATGAAGTTGGGAGCTTGTCGTGGTTTTTTTTTTTTTTTAAAACCTCTGCAGGTTGCAGCCTTGTTGTTGTGACACATTAAAAAGCTCATCAGTCTGGAAGTGTGCATCTTGTTTTTAGAGTTAATTAAAAGTGCGGCGGCTGCCTGCGGGGAGGACCTCACGATGACTGACAGTAACTGGCTCACTCTGGGCAGACTCTTAATGGGATTTAGCGGCGTGTCCCGACCACCGTGTGCCAGAGCTCTGCCGGTTCCGAGCCGGGCCTTTACAGACACCGCAGCGTGGGGCCGGGCCGGGGACACACATGGAGCATAATGGACTCCTTATGGCCGTGCGGACCCTCGCTGTCCGAGGTCCAGCGGTGGGGGTCCGCCTGTTTTTGTTCCGCTGCTCTGGAGCACGTGGGGAGGTTTGGCTTCGCGGCTCGGATGACAGTTGCTGGCACGCTCTGCTTTATTGAACCCAATGAAACGGCTCGTTGCAGCCAGCGGGCGGACACAAGCCGCAGATCAAAACCTCCCACAGCCGATACCGACCCGACCAGATGGACCCCCACATGGCGACTTTAAAGCTTCGGTAAAATAAAATAAAAACAAAAACGCAGATTAATAGTCACCGCGTTCGACTGCAGGGACTTTTGAATGATTTCAGAATTTTTGTCGCGTCCATGACGTCAGAACCTCGTTGTGTTTTCCGGGGTTTTTATTTTATGTGATGGGTTTTTTAAAGCAGGGCAGGGTGATGAAACATCTCACAGAGTCATCTGAAAATGGAGAAGTCCGTGGCAACGGTGAGCCCGTCAGGTCAGACATGGAGGTTCACCATCCAGCAGGACATCGACCCTTAACCTTCAGCTATAGTGTTTGTTGACGGCCATGTTTTAGGCTGGCTTCTGCACAGTTTGTGGTTTTTCAGCTGGTTGTTTGCTCAGAATTTGAGGTTTGAAGTAGAGCTGGACGACATGGCTGTAAAAACGTATCACGATACCAAGGTTTTGAATCAGTCCATCGATGATTATTGATTAGTTATTTGTTGCAAATATTTGAAATAACTGCCAATCTGGCGGCATGGGCTTTTCTGCTTTATCCTCAGCTTTCACTCCACACTGTTGTTTCTCTTTTTCTTACTATTTTTGAGCAGTTATGAGGCATGGTGGTGAAGCCTCAAGTTGTTGCTAGGTAACCAGGGTGAGGGAACCAAAGAGTGAGTGAGGTAGTTGAAGTCACCAACTTTTCTTAGCTAGCCTTTCCTTTGCCTACATTCCCCAGAATGCTGTGAGGCTCTGGATTGGAGTTCAGTGAATTTATTGAATATCCTATCAGACATCTCATCTATTGGTATTGATCATGCATCTGTCATGACATATATTATTGATTTATTGTCCAGCCCTCGTTTGAAGTGTCAAATAAATTAAAAAATTCCTCCACAAAAAAAAACAAAACAAAAAAAAACACAATATGATCATGCACATCTCCTTAAGGATTTTTTTTAACCTCCTAATCTCTGTGACGTTGCTAAAATTTAATAAATCAACATCTCCAGGACATTTTTTTTAGAATTGTCTACAAAAAAAAAGGTGAAAACTTTTAACCTTTTCTCCAGTGTTTTCTTTATGTGAGCCCTGTGATACGGTTTGTTTCTGCTTGGAGTCACCGGGCCCTTTGCTTTGCTTTGCTTTGCTTTCCTTTGCAAGTGAAAGAGACACATTGGTTGGTTGGGGGGGGGAGGGGTAGGTTTGTGTTCAGCTGTTAACACGCTTCGCTTTATTAAACCCAATAAAACGGCTCGTTGCAGCCTGCCGACTGACACGGGCTGCGGATCAAACTGATCTCCTGCGAGACGGCGAGGAAACATCACCAGCCACGCTGCCGCTTCAGCACGTTTCAGCTGCTTCCATTCCAGTCCTGAACCCGTTTCCGCTCCTGGTGACGGCTTTCCAGGTCTGCTAAGCACACGAAAAAAAACGTTAAGTAATCTCCGAATGAAAGGACATGAAAATGTGAACTTTTCAGATGAGATTCAATGGCACTATATTATTATTTTTTTCTTTAGTCTATTAAATGTAGGATAAGTATGAAAATGTTACTAAGGAGCCAGTTTAGGCACAGCAATTGATGTTTTTTGCTGTGACCTTCACTCATAATTTTGCTGCCCTTAAACTATATATATATATATATATATATATATATATATATATATATATATATATATATATATATATATATTTTTTTTTTTTTTTTTTCTATCTGTGTTTATTT